CCCAGCTGTCTATCAGTTACCCTCTCCTCTCCCTCCTCTAAGCAAAGCATCCAACATCTAAAATCACTGCTCATTCATTGGGACGGGTTAGGAGGACATATCATATTTATCTTTCCCTCATCAAAGGCGGACACTTTCTGCATTATTTGTTATAGCAAAAACAAAAAGAAATAGAAAAGAAAAAGAAATCAGATAAGCAAACTGCTTGGCTGCTAATGCTCATTTTCAGCTGTCCAATCATCATCGCATGGTAAGGTCTTCCATGTTTAAGCTCATTGGATACACTGAAGAATAAACTAGAAACGCCACTTGATCTGACACAAAATAAACATACAAAATGAATAAAATAAAAAGTATATATGCACGCAGATTCAAAGGAATAAAGAAATGGGATGTATTGTTCACCCAAAGGGAAGATGAGATCAAGCCTCTTCTTCCAGATCCTCATGACTTAGAACTTCCATAGTAAGTTCCTTGCTAGGATAAGTGGCTTAATTCCTTGGAACAAATATCAGCAGTGTGTTTTCATCCCCAAACTGACTCTGTTTCTTTCTTTTCTCAGAGACGGCACCATCTTGGCTCCTCTACACATAGACCTCTTCACAAATGTTCACTTGAGCAGATAATCAAGGGATTATACTACACATTTCATTTAAATTTAAGAGCAATCTAAATATCAAGATTAGTTTACTGTTTACCTCTTCTTTTCTAAGAAGAAATACTTATATTTGTTAATATCCATAAACTATGAGAAAGGAGGTACATAACTGTTCTGCTTGCTAAAACGTGAACAGTTAGATACTTTGGAGCTCTCAGACCAAACTTGAATGTCTTTATCAAAGCCCTCCAGTCGGTCTCAGGGATATATGCTGAAGAAGGGCCATAAAAATTCTCTGAGCCAGAGGTGGTAGATGACTTTAGGGAAAGATCGTTTTTCAGATGCAGCAGGGCTAATGCACGTAGAAGCTTACAGAGACTGTGACACCATACACACCCAGACAAAATCCCAGCACGAAAAGCTAAAGTAAACAAAATGCCCCACACTTAACCAAGAAGGTATTTGCAATTGATAACTTCTGGGAAAGGGAAAGTCAGTTTTTTTTTTTCCAATCGAGTATCACTGGGTATATTAACCACAGTCTAGGGCATCCCCAACACTGGAGTAGTTGGCCAGCAACTACATGATTCTTGTGTACTTTTTGCTTTGTTTTTGATATTTATCTTACTAATCTTGAGGGTGGTAAATGAAAGAGAGAGGTAGACACATAAGAGAGAGGGGGAAAGGGGAGGGGAAGAGGAAGAAAGAGAGAGAAAGAGAGGAAGAGAAGAGAGAAAACACTAGTATGACAAATTTGAGTGGATGGATCTAAGGATAGTAGGAAGGGATAATTGTAACATAATATATGGTAGACTGATCACTATTGTGGTGCTGGGACCAACCCAGTGCCTTGAGAATACTAGGGAGTGACCTACATACGTACTCACCCCTTCTTGGGAAAATGGGTCTGACTGTGTAGCAAGGGTGGGCCAGGCTCTTTCTATACGGACTAGGCTAAGCTAGCCTTAATTCACAATCCTTCAATCTTAACCTCAAAGTACCAGGACGACAGTGGTGAATCAACCCAGCCAACTATAATTATGTATTGCTCATGCTCTCAAAAGAATGTAAACTCTGTGAGGAAAGGGGACATACATACTCTTTTTAACTTTGGTATAGCCATAGAATGTGTTAACTATACATTCGCTAAAAATTAAAAAGGCAAAAGTGTGTTTATATATGAGCATTAATGGCAATATACTAAGTAGTTACAATACAGTAGGTATCGTGTTAAATATTTATCTTAATTGGGAAATTTACAAATGGGACAAGACAATGACCTACATACAGTTAACTACAGCTGTGTCTCCCACTGTCCCTTTAGATCATATACTATGGTGGTCACTTTCCTCTGACTCTGAAATATATAACATGGCTTCTATTGTTCCTCGAGAAGCCTCTTTGCAAACAGCCAATCTCCTGCATGGGGGCCTTTGTCATAGACAGCACCTTATTTTTCTCCTCTGTGCATGTCAGACACAGGTAATTTTGTCACAGTCACTGCTACTTTAGATACTGTTACAGTTTGCCCATAAATGTACCCTTTCAAAAGGCCTGAGCCTTTTGCACATTGTTCTCCACTATGTCGCCCACATCGTCATCACAGTTTTGGCACTTCTCCTACCTCAGCTTCTTGAACAGGTTGAGATGACAGACAGGAGCCATCGTACCCATCTGAGGCTTGTTTAAAGTCTGGTTCTAACTTCAACAGTGTCAGGAAAGAGCTCTGGGGAAGTACTGGATCATAAGGAAAATACCTCTATAAACTACTATTCTCATAGATTTGAAATTCAAAATTATTGTTGAAATGTGATATAAATTAGATCAAGAGGTAGGTTCTAGTTGGGAGGAAACAGGTCACTGAAGACATGCCTTGCAAAGATGTCCCTTGATGCTGATACCTTCCTATTGCTCTGTTTCTTGCCACCATGGGGCGGATAGTTCTGCGACATGTTCCCTCAGACATGGTGCTCTACATACTGCAGACACAAACAACTTAGCCAGCCAGCCATAGAGAATATTTCTGAAACTAAGAGCCAAAATTAATCTTTGGGCTTTCAAGTTGCTTATCTCAGGTATTTGTCACTGTGACAAAAAAATAAAAATATAAAACCTGACACAGATGTCTGTAGGGCTGACACCACAGGAAAAAATCAAGGCAGGAAGAATGCTAATTTAACATCTGGTTTTGATACATATGCATCATCTTTCATTCAGCAACCCTACAAGTTAGACACTCATGCCAGTAAGAAAATGAAGGCACGTGAAGGTTAGGCAATTTGTGCAGTGTCACAGGGTAGGTCAGACTGTCATGGCTGCCGAGACGGTCCTTAGGGAATTGTAGGGTAGGGTAGCACTTATAAATAAAGTCTGAGCAAGAAAATATCTATGCTGTACTACTAAGAGGTTACTTATAATGCACTTAACAATTTCATTTTGTAATGATTAATTTAGGCTTACAATATCAGAGTAGAACTTAGGGGCTGGGGAATTTAAAAAATTCACTTGAAAATGAGATTGAGCACAAATTAAAAAGTATGGATTTATAATGCTCCTGTAGATGCTCCTCTTCTGTTTCCAGAAGAGGAGCTTGCACTCCGGCTTGTGAGGTTATGTCTGTTCCAAGAGGTCACTGAAGTCCCAGGGAAGGCTGTCTGTGGAGATAACAAACTCCACACATCACACCATGCCTGGCATCTGATTGTCGATACATCTTGTTGGGTTTCCTTAAATAATTTTTTTTCTATTATAAGTAATGTGGGAGGGGGGGGTGATTACCAGAGTCCACACTCATCCTAATATGTAGCATAAACTGATTAAGAGATGGTGTAGATTCTTTCCTTTAAGGAAATTATATATGTCTACCCCTCCATTAGTGGTTATCAACACACCTGTCAAACACTGTGTTTATGCAGTTAATTCCTCCTATACTCCTTCAGAAGGAAATCAAAAGCAGTTACCATACTGTTCATCAGCTGACAGTAAAAGTTTGCAGCCAGTATGCACCTTACAAAGAGATGCCATGTGAACGCAAGCTAAAAGAGACGAATTCAACTGAGACACATACGAATCCCAAAGACAACTATCCAAGTTGGTTTGCAGTAACACTGATGAGAGGATGAAGTTTATGAACTGTTCCTGTAGAAAGTTCTACATTGTGTGGGCACTAAGAGATGTCATCAAAGGAGAGTAGTCAGACGATGAAAAAACAAGCTTATTTTTTAAATAAAATTAATTATGTTTAGAATATAGTATAGCATGTAACTAGAAGTTATAAATTAAGGAGGTACATAGAATAGCCCTACTCAAATACAAACACATTAATAGACACACAGAAACCCCAAACAGAGCTACCAGAAAAAAGGTGTTCACCACCAAAGTTAGAATTTCAGTCAGCTTTATCTCAATGAACAGCATCAAAATGTGAATACCCTCCAAGAGAGGCATGTAATTTTAATTTTAAATTGAAGCACTTCCTAGGCCAGCATTTTTTAATAGATTTTGTGTGTGTGTGTGTGTGTGTGTGTGTGTGTGTGAGCACTTGAAATGTGGCTGGTGAGATTAAGGAACAGAACTGTTATATTTATTTAACTTCAGTTAACTTAAGCCTAAATAAACTGTAAAATACCACTTTAGAGAGAAAAGCCTATCGTACTGTCTCAGTTACTTTCCAATGTGAACTTCACGCCTCAAAGTTACTAGGCATCATGTGTAAGACCTCAAATGAAATCATTTAGAATCTACTTACAAATTTTGAGAAGGATCAATTTGAAATCGGAAGAAATTTACCTTTAGGGATCGAATATGCTCAAATGAATTTTTATTTCGTTTTTTTACGGCATAGACACTCGTTTATAAATACAGTTTAGTCTTCTAAAAAATAAGTTACCCCCCATAAACAAATGCAGCCCCAAATAATGACTTCAAAACATAAGACTGCACTCTTAGTTCCCTGAATAACAGGAAACAAAATCAATAAGAAACTCTCCTCATTCAAAACTGGAGGTGGCGGTGGGGTTTTATTAAAGGCACGAGAAAAAAAAAAGTACAACCTTTCACTGCCTGCGTCTCCACCTGAGAATGCTCTATGATTCCACCTTTAAATTAGGAACACAAACACCTTCACTTGACTGTGACCTCAGCAGGTGGACCTCTAAAGCCAGTAGGCATGCATCCACCCTGGGCCACGCGACTTTAAGCGCCCATCACAGACTTGCCTGAAGGCGGATGGAGGCTCATGTGCGCCTGGTATACAGGAACCTAGGAGGGCAGCATCTCCGCGGCGGGCATCCCCATCCCAGCGCATCTCTCAGGCGCAGGTGCGCCAGGCACAATGCTACCCCAGCCCCAGCATCTCCGCGCCAGGCACCCGCGCGCATCTTCACCTCTGAGCCGCGCTCACCTTTCTCGCTCACGCTCTCGCTCTCCAGCTCCACGTCCTCGCAGCTGGTGTACTCCGGTGTGGACACGCCCTCTTCCTCCGAGCTGCTCACCGACATCTGTCTCCTCTTGCCTCCCCGCTTGGGCCGGTGCGGCTTGGGCGGGGACGGTCGCACGGACTCGGACTGGTCGGAGCTCAGGGAGTCGTTCCGCAGCATGCTCTCTGCCTTCTCGCGCTTGGCCTTGCGCAGGAGCACGGCCGAGCCCGGGTCCAGGCGGCCCTGCTTACGGAGCGGCTCGGGGACGCGCGGCTCGGGCGGCTCTGCGGGACCCGGGACCGGCCGTGGAGCCAGCGGGCCGTGCTCGGCGGGAGGCTGGGCGGCAGGCGCGCGCGCGCGGGGGGACTCGGGCGGAGAGGCCCTGGTGGCGGCTGGCGCGCGCTTGCCCGCCGTGGCCTCGGCCGGCGCGGCTGCAGCCTCGGTGTGCGGGAGGGCCACGTCGCTGTGGCGCCGCTCGTGCCTCGCGCGGGACACCCGGGCGTGCATGCGCATCTGCTGTTCCTCGGGAGGCGGCTTCACGGGGTAGCGCGCCAGGTTCGGGTCGCTGCGGTACCTGGTCTGGTACTCCTCCTCTTTCCTCTGCTTCTCGTCCTCCGCCGCCCTGCCATCCTCTCTTTTCTCCGGCCGGTCCGGGTAGTCCTGGGAGCGTCCTTTCTCCAGCCTGCGGGTTTCCCGCCTTTCCTTCCGCTCCCGCTCTTCCGCGGTCCCCTCCCCAGGCTGCACCGCGGACTTAGGCACGCGTTTGCGCTCGCTCTTCAGGCCTCCCTTGCCATTCTGCTCCGAAAGCCCTGGAGCCTTCTTCCTGTGATGTGCAAAGAATAGTTGATCAAATTTGAACAGTACACCCAGAAACTTCTTTGTCTCAGCATTCAGGCTTAAATAGATTATTTCCTATGATTAGTTAGAATCCCGTGTCTAATTAAAATTTGAAGTAAAGAACGGCTTTAAATTTATGTAGTGATTAAACTTTAAATGTGAACCCTTTGCATGACTTTAGGATTGGCGGATCTCTGTGAGTTCGAGACCAGCCTGGTCTACAGAGCTAGTTCCAGGAGAGGCTCCAAAGCCACAGAGAAACCCTGTCTCGAAAAAACAAAAAACAAAAAAAAACAAAACAAAAAAAATTTATTTTCACCTTTAAAGTTGCATTTAAATTAAAAATCATGAGCATTAATTCAATAAGCACATTTTTATGCTTACCTTCCCTTGTGACTTAAAATGATGCAGATAGAAATAATATGGACAATAATAACATAAGACCTAAAGATCAGTATACATCACTGCAAGATCAAATGCGTTTTCCACACACGCATATATGAGCATTGTGTACTTAACAATTCTTGACTAATTAATGAAACTTTCATAATTACAAATATGCTTATTTCAGAAATCCAATCTGGTAGCACTCTGATAACAGGGCAAATTCATTTTGACTTGATTGTGGACACCCAAGCCTTTCTTTTATATATCATAGCATTAATCAGAAAACAATGGCTGAGCTATAGCTTATATTTTAACTTTCTCAGCTACCATTAATAGAAATACTGATAGTTATTTACTTGTTTTTTTTTTCTTACAGCACTAGGACTTCATGCCAAGAACCTGCCTTTTTTATTTCAAAAGAACAAAAGTCTCAAAGAAAAAACTAGTTTTAAGGTTTTCATTCCTTATAAGTTTTATTTTTCTTGCAGGCAAAGATTAAATTAAAGGAAAGGGGGTTGGCAGGTCTTTTAATCCTGTAAAAGAATAATTCAGTGTCCTCTTCAGTATTTCTCCATACAAAGCACCTGGTCCGGGATGTCTCTGATGTTATTCCAGAAGTGGCTGGAAAACACTTTTGCCCTGGCTAAGCCTTCTGTGCTAATTCTAATGTGCAGTTAAAGTGGAGACTACCCAGACTTGCTTTCGAATTCTAAGGACCATGGGGAATGTGGTTAGGGCAGCAGCATTTGCTCACAATTAAAAAAAAAAAGTGTGTGTGTATATGCACCTATGTTTATGTATATGAAAATGGGGAAGCTAGTTTTTTCTGTGGTGGAATATCAAAGTGTAGTTGCTAGATACATTGTGGGGTTGGGATAGGTGAGGGAGAGACACTATTGAGGACAGAAGGGGAATGGTGACAAGGAGTAAAAAGAAGCATGGTGAGTTCTGCTCGAGGTATTTATATCACCATGCCACTATAAAACGAAGAGGGCATGAACCTGAAAGTGGACCTTAAAGTGTGGGGTTGCAATTTTGCAATGGAAGGGATCTAACACCACCACGGATTGGTAGTTAGTATTACAATTTTCGAAGATGCCATGACTGTATTGTTTACAGATAGTTCATTAGTTTTTTTTTTTTCTTGCACTTGGTAGAAGTTTATGTCAAAACAGTTTACTCTTTTGGAGATGCTGTTAACAGTTGGTTACCATGCAGAGTTCATGATGTAATTAAAGGAGACCCATCAGTAAGGGTACTTTAAGTGAGGTTGGCTATCATGCAAATGGTAGGATTCTCTATTCTGTGTTTTGGGCTCAACTAATGATATTTTTTTTTCTTATTACTAACTTGATTGTTCTGTTTTCACGAGCTCCTGATTAATGCTCAAAATATGGTCAAGTAATTTTCAGTAACAGAAAACTAATCATCTTTTCAACCTAAGCACTTACTCATCCTTTCAGTCAGGGAACTAGTCATCCTTTCAACCTAAGCAACTAGTTATCCTGTTGATCAAGAAACTAGTCATCCTTTCAATCAAGGAAGTAGTCATCCTTTCAATTAAGGAACTAGTTATCCTTTTGATCAAGGAACTAGTCATCCTTTTCACCTAAGCAACTAGTCATCCTTTCAGTCAAGGAACTAGTCATCCTCTCAACCTAAGCAACTAGTTATCCTGTTGATCAAGGAACTAGTCATCCTTTCAATAAGGAACTAGTCATCTTTTCAATCTATTTTCCATGGCTGCCCAAATCCACACTGTCACCTGGCCATCTTCTGATTAAGCACACAAGTCTTCATTATCTATTTATAGACCACTGCTTTTCTCGGTGTTCATGCTGCATTTTCCAGTATTCTCACTTTATCTTCTCAGTGTTCATGTCTCTGCACTCCTTGGGATTTTAGTTAGGTTTTCACCATAAACCAAACTTCATTATTTTTTTCTTTACTAACGACAGCTCTACCAGCTTTGTCATATTTAAAAGCACCATCTGCTGACCATTCCCAAAATTCATCTTTAATATTTTTGTCTCTTAATTCATTACATTTTACCACCAAGTGAGCTTTGTTCTATTGTCACTACAGTACTTCTGATGCCCTTCCTATCTTCTTTCAAAAAAGATCTGCATACACATTCTCTCCCCTATATTGTCTATTTCCTGGAATCTTATAAGGCTCAACTCAAAGCCATTTCTTTTGATTCTAGAGCTTCTAAAGTACTATACATATGTTCTAGCATTGATAAATCAATTAACATCTTGACTAGTTGCCTAGTTGTCTATCTTCCCTGGGATATTGTTTGCCCATATTGTGAGAAATGGGATATGTCCTCATCATCTCTGCTCCCTCTTGTTCCTAGCACTAAATTTAATTATAGTGATTGTTTCATGAGTGCTGGCTGAAATCACAGCCATATTTAGTTAGGTTGGCACCACATGGCGTCCTGGGACCTTGTGTTGGCTGCTAATACTTGGCACACCCCTGCAAAGTATGCTATCACTGCCTATTATGGCAGAATCAGGACTGTGATCCAGACACACTTTACTTTGAAGTCATTGATCTTTTGTAAATTTTGTTTGAAAATGAGGTTCAAAATACTTCCATGGGTGGAGACTACTCCTTACCTAGTGCCATAAATAAGAGTTACAGGAACAGAAGCAATCAAGCCTGGTCAGTTCCAACCAGTCTGGGCTCACACAACACAGCACCATTTTGACATCTGTGTTTTCTAGTGGACAGCATCAACTCAGATAAATGGATGGATAGTGAAACAGTTGATGTATGTTACCTGATCATATTATCCCTTGCCTATATCTTTAATGGCTTCCCATTATGCCTGGATAAAAATATATGAAATTTGACCCCTTTGCTTACAACCTTGCCAGCTTCCTCTCTTCTATCTTCCTTGGCTACCTTTACTCTAGCCAGTGCTATCCTTTAGAAAGACCTCAAACAGACATCTTTCCTTTAGGCCACATGCCTAAGTAGATACCCTACTGCGTCATCCTTAACCTCACTTCATAAATTCCTCACTATTTTTTGTAGTGCAGCTTAAAGTATACTCAGAAAAGCAATCTCTGATGTCCCACCATGCCTTTCAGTAGGCCGAGTCATGCCTCATATGCTTCAAGGGCACACTTTTTGTTAACGTGCTAAACGTATAATAACAGTGTTTCTAAAGGCTTTTCTCAGCTCAAAGTTGGAGCTTTATAACTCAAATAACATATCTTTCACTGGCATCTGTGCAAGATATGAAAGACAAGCTTCTCAAAACAGGTCTCTTACGGTATGACATATTCTAGATGTAGACAGAAATCTCAGGCCTGTTTCTGCATTGTCTATGGGGCCTAAGAAGTAATCTTTCCACATAGGCCTCCTAATACATACCGGGGTCTTGGTAACACGTGCGCTTTCTGGCAGCCCTCAACTTTTGCTTAGAGTGTTAGTGAATATTACCTTTCCCTTGGTGGCTCACTTCTAGACCTTGATGTCTGCTTCTGGTCAGGTCCCACGGCTTGCTGTGAGGGCTCTGCCCCTTTACTCCTGTCCACTTGTGCACCAGGGGAGGCAGTGTCCTGAGACGAGGCAGCTGCCGTACTCAAAGGTGTCTGAGACCTTGATCGCTCTTGGAGTCGCGCTTTCTTTTCTCTCGGCACCTCAGATCCAGCACCTGTAGCTGTGTCACTCAGAGTCCCGTCCTGACTGGGCTGCTGAGGGCCACTTCCAAAGAACCATGCTCCAGATTTGGTTAAGATCTCTTGCTGCTTTCGACATAAATTGCATACCCACATAACCTATTTGAAGGAGAGAAAGAGCAATATTAAAAAAAAGTTTCCCACATATTTACAAATACTTTATTAAAATTCATATTAAGAATGTCTTCATCTATCTATATATCCTTGAACATTCCTCATAATTTTTTATACAATACACAGTCAAGTATATCAATGCCAGGGCTTGAAGAGTGCCTCTGAGCAATTAGGGCAGAATTTTCTTCTCATTTTAGTTTAATGATTCTGTTTCATTTCACCATATAATTGATTCTAATGTTTCATTAAAATATCTGTTAGCATAAGTGCTCTAGGTGAGGCAGATAATTGATCAGAAATTATTGGAAAGAGCTCTAACATCAATACTTCCATGCACTGACCTCAGTATCTCAAAGGATTTTATAGATATCTCTCTTCTGAAATAAATCTATTATTAAAATCATTCATGAAAGCTATTTAATATGGAAAATAGTTCCGAACAAAACAAAATGAAAATATGTGTATTTCCATCGGTTTCTCAACAATGTGTTAACCTCAAGTTCACCTTATGGTATACATGGTATTCGTGCACATATTTACTACGGCAACACATCTGAGACTGGGTTTATTAATATGTGACAACAGTGTTTCTTCAAGAACACTGAGTAACATACATGTTGATTGAAGGGACTCTGGCCCGTCCAAGCAGGGCAGCATGGCTCCAGCAGGCCTGGACCTTCCCATATTCCCTCTGCCTGTTTAAAACAGTTAAATCACACTACTAAAGCTAGATACCAAGATCTGTTTCCTTATTTGGCCACTTCCTCCTCTGGGGCTGACTACCAAGGTTGAGCTATCTAAGTATTAAAGTCCAGCACTCAAAACCCCCCTTCAGCTCACCTAATTAACATTCCCAGTTAAAAAATTACACACCTCATTCTAACGCAGAGTTTCTCTTTTTACCTTTATAAACCGCCATTTGCCTATGGGAAATGTCTTCTCTTTCCTCCTTATCTTTTGTCCCCCTCTGGGACAAATACCTTTTCCCTTGTTCCCTTTGCTTCTTCCTCATTTTCTATCTCCTGTCTTTGTCTCTTATTCCCCTCCCTCTGTCTCTGTGGAGCAAATAAATCTCCTTTGTGCTGAGAACCTGCTCTTGGGATCTTGAGCTGATACCAGCCTTTTATCTTGATAAATGATAAATAATCACTTAAGATAAACATTTAATTTGCTACTCTAAATGACATTTAAAATTAATACAGTCACAAGGACCAATCCTAACAAAAATAATGAAGAATGTGAGCAATGACTAGCACTGAGGACAAAGACAGATGATGGCGTTTCTAGGAACCATCATTCTGAATACATAAAAAAAAAAAACTGGATGAACAACTTTCTGCATAAGCATGGACCAAAATAGTTAGGACACCTTGCAGCCTCAATTTAAAAAGTAAGCCAGGTGGCTGTGAGTGGCACCCTGTATCCTCATCTCTTCAAACTTCACAAATAAAGATGCTCAAGCCTGATTCTATGAATATATCGAGCATAACAAAATAAGGGATACACCCTGGAACCAGAACTCCCATGACAACTTCTGCCTCCCGCTACCTAGCTCGCAGAATGGGAGAGTGAGGTACTCATTTACGGCCATTTGAGCTGACAAGACAGCAATAAGACCGGAAATCGTGATTCACGAAGACTGATAGGAACCTTTCTCATTTTACAGCATCTAAGTAAATACTAGGTAAGAGAATCTTAAACTTGCAAACAGCAGTTCCTCAGCAGTCATTAAGAGAGGGCCATTTTCTACAAAAATAAAACCATGTTTAGAGAGAAATACACACTTCACTCAAAATCATTTTTTGACAATTATTGCAGAGCTTACAAAATGGCCTTCAGTTAAATAATATTGCACAAAAGGAAAGAAAGTAGCAATGCCGACAGAAAGGATGGTTTTCACTGGATAATTTCTGGGAATGCCATTACAGTTTTCTTTGTGTTGTTTGATTTTAAGCATTAAAAACTAGTCACTAAAAAGCAATTGACAAATTTGGGGAGAATTCAGATTTTGAATATATGCTGAACAATGTAATATCTATTTAAATTAAGTTTTATATCCCATTTAAGTTAACTTAGTTTCTAATGATAAATATGTCATAATTGCTGGGCAAGTAATATCCATACTTTAGATGATACCCCAGACCCAGGAAGACAAATATAGTATGTAGTCACTTATAAGTGGGTATTAGCTCTTAGCTAATTGATAATGAATCTATACAATCTGTAGACCCAGAGAGGTTAACTAAAGAGGAAGGTTCTGGGGTGGGAGGGGTGCTTGAATCCCCCTGGGAAGGGAAAATCGAATAAACACCGTTGGTGGACGGTGGGGTGGGTAGGGAATTGAGTGGGAAGGATCAGGCATGTGTGAAAGAGAGGGTTTGGAGAGACAGCTGGAATTGTGGAGCATTGTGGGTATGTGTGGAAACCGATGGCAGTGGGAACATCCTGGAATCACGAGGGTGACCTTAGTGAGGACTCCTAGTAAAGGAAGGTATGGAGTTTGGACTTGCCATCTTTTATAGCCAGGGAAGGCTCCAGTGATGGCATTCCGTTGGGTTGTTTGCCCAGAGGGTACCACAGAGATCCCTAAACAGCCCAGGCTGATGCTAGGACACAGTCATTCTTTGAAAATTGAAAGCAGGCCCCTTTGCAGAGAACAACATCTACCTCAGCTTGTTGAAAGTAGAGAGTTCTAACTGGTGCCAGTTAGGAGCCTACACCTCTGCCTTCTACTCTCTATGGCACGAGAAGGTACTCCATAGGATATGAAAAGAAAATCCTGGACAATATCCCAGCCACAAAACTATTCACCTACAATCTGTCCTGCTTGCCAAATGTGTTGGGGCAATGATGACACAAGACTTGTGGGAGTGGCCAACCAATGTTTCTTTTAACTTGAGGCTCTCACCAAGAGAGGGAGCACAATTCTTATGCTGCCTGGGATGGGAGATTAGAAAGTCCAGAGTCCTAGTGTAGGGGGAAAAAAAGGTAAACATGACTCATGACTGAAAGAAAAAAAGAAAAAGAAAGAAATCAATTAAATGATTCCTGGACTCATAGATCAGTGCCTTATTTGGTCATCATCAGAGAGGCATCTTCCTGCATCAGATGAGAGCAGGTGCAGAGGTACACAGCCAGAGAAAGAGTCTAATGTGGAGGTCGCCATCATCTCCATAGAGTACCTCCCTTCAGATATCAGGAAACCACGCAGAAGAGAAAAATGAGAGACTATGGGAGTCAGAGGGGTGGGAGGACAGCAGGAGAACTCGGACCACTGAATTAACTAAGCAGAGAACACGTAGACTCAGAGAGACGGAAGTGACAAGTATGGGGCTTGTATGGGTCTGGACCAGGTCCTCTGGCTGTAAGATTGGTGTTTGTGTGGTATTCCTAACAGTAGGAGTGGGTTTGCCTTTGACTCTCTCGCATGCTCATGGAATTCTTTTCCTCCTGTTGGGTTGCCTTGACAGGCCTTAATACGAGGGCTTTTGCTTGGTCTTACTGTATTTGTGCTGTTTAGATATCATCTCTTGGAGGGAGGCCTGCTCTTTCTTGAAGAGAAAACGGAGGGAGAGTGGTTCCAGGGAAGCAGGGAAGTCAGAATGGTGGGAGTTGAAAGGGGTGGATGAAAGCAAAACTATGGTCAGGATGTTTGTCTGGGAGAAAAATCTATTTTCATAAAAGAATATTTTGTTTAAATTTTAGTGTCTGTGATGTTTGTCAATTTATAACACTTAGAGAAAATATTCCTTTTTCAAAATTCCTCCAATGTCTTATTTCCTTCTCTGTCATAATAAGTCAAAACCTTTGTTTCAGAATTTCCTATGTGGGATGAGATTATTCAGTCATGTGAAACAATATTAACTATAAAAATATACTAATATAATTATTTTAGTAAAAATAGTAATGCTCAATCTCTACTTTTGGTTCTATAAATTATTCATAAATAATGAAATATGTGCTAATATAAAAAAAAATTAATGGTATGCATGTGTTAGATACATAGAAGTTATGAAATTAAAGCAGAAACATTTATTTTATATCAAATATGAGACCCATCTACAAAGTGATCAAGGTAGCAAGACACAACATACCATGTACATGTAAGATATTCCATTTTGATTTTTAATTATTAATTAAATTTGTCTGGAGTTATAAATACTCAAAACTGGTGTGCAGATAACTCTGCACCAGATTTCTTATGAGACTTAATTATAAAAAACAAACCTTACACATACAGAGAGAAAGAGCGAGAGGGGAGAGACAAGTGCACACTCCTTTTAGAGATGGTACCATGCAGGATAATATCCTGGTTTAGTGTCCTGAGATTTTATCCAAGCAAATCTAAAATAAAGAATGCCTCTGTTGTAGCTAACTTAACAATTCTCAGATCTTTAGCGATCAATTACAAACTGGAATGAAAGATTTTTGTGTTGTAACATGGCTTCTGAAACTCCATGATATGCATCAAAAACATGGAGGAAAAACAGAAATTATATACTGATATTTGGTTCTAAAATTTTGTTTCACACCTAATCACGAGGGCAAAAAATAGATCAGATTAAAATTAATATAACATTTACCTAAACAACAGAAATCCCAGCACTTCTTACAGTACAGACAAGGAATCTCATAGCTCACACTACATGCTCAGTAGAAATAAGAACATGTTCAGATGTAGGAAGTTCTTTATGCTTGCTATTCCATGATGTGTTTACAGACTGTGTGCACTATGGCTAGGGAAGGAATGCCCTGTACGGGACACCAGTTTTCAAACAAAGAAAGAATTCCACTTCAGTCCAGCTAATGAAACAATTTTATCTGAGGTTACTTACTGGAAGTGGGTGAGGGCTTACTTACAGGAACATGTACAATGTATGGGCAACTACAAGACTGAAGAAAATGTCTTCCTCTCCCAGTAACTCTTAACTACCAAGGAATTCATGCAGATAGGCAAGAGTTTTGTAAACACACCCTTATTGTCC